CACAAATGTGTTCAGAAAAGGTTGATAAATCTACTTAGCAAAAAATATCATTTTAGGTATTTTCAGTGATAATTGACTCCGTTGTCACCTTAATAATGCAAAAAAGTAAAAGAACGAAATGATATGAAATAAACAATGCATAGAAAATGAAGTCGCACACATTTTTACTACACATTCGCACTCCTGATAATTAATAAGTTATTTCATGCATTTTTAATATAGTTTTTCTTAGTAGGGAAACTGTTCATTTTAACAAACGCCTTTTGGGAGTCCAGCCGAAAACTTAAATGAATTAATACAATTTTGGATAGCTATTGTACAATCAATGTTAGTAAACAAAGAACAAGATATGCATAAGTATATAAAAAGAAATCAACTTGCTACCATCATTCAATGTTTGATAAAAAATGATGGGAAATGAATATATGTGCTCTAAAACATGGAACGGATGTCCACTATTTCGTTTTAATATAAACATAATTATAATGATAAACCTATGGAGAAAATCAAGAATTTATCGTTGACGTAACATGCAGAGCAGAATGAAAACCCAAGAAATTAATCTGCATTATAATAAAATAAAATATTTTCAAATATAATTACAGTCAGGTTAATACTCTCATAAATAACCAATGACTATGCAACCAACTTGAGCACTATAATGTCTTTTAAACACTTCTGTATCTTTTGTCGACCCTTCTTTTACAACCAAGGCATCGTTTTGCAGTGCTTGATAATGCGTACAAAATATTGTAGTTACATCTTGATATATCTCTTGTATTGGCATATTCAAGGGATTGTATGATTTGAAATTTTCATCTTCTAGAACAAGACTTTCAGCACTTTCTCTCCGCTGCATTTGAATTTCCACTACTTTTGAAGTACCATGCTATTCATCTCCCTTATCTTCCATCTGATTTCTTGATATCATTGCAGCCGAATTATTGACAAATTATTGGCAAATTCCTTCCGTCATTGTGAGACAAAACATTTAAATAATCATTGTAATCACATACACAATTCCTGAAATTCATAGCACAATGATTATAAATTCACAAAAATAAACGAAACATTTTATGGAGTTGTACGTGTATGTACGTTTAACATATTTTTGGCATTTAAATGTTATATTGAAATGACAAAAAATAGCAAAAATACAATTAATAATAAAGAAATAAAGTCCTTAAGATTTTGATATTTAAAAAAATATTAGATTTTAATAGCATAAAAATAAAATGACAAATAAGTTGATATATTGATTCTAACTATACGTGTATTTTTAACCGTTCAAGAAATAATTGTGTTTGCTAAATCGAATGAAAATTGTCACATTCTTAATGTTAAATGAATATATTCCTTTTTGATATTTTATCATTGTTACAGTTCCAAAATGAATTAAATATTCTATTAATGAATAATATAATAATAGCTGCGCAAATGCGGCATTTTGTTGCAAAGGTATATGCCTATATCATCTATGCTGATATCACATCGAAGGTCAAACTGTTTCTTGACAATCGTGTCGAGGGAATTCATATTGTGAACGAACAATTTGCGTTAACTACTTCCTGGAATAGAAACAGAAAAACGGAACCTAATTCATATGTATCTTTTTAAGTTCGTTGAAACAATATTTCAATTACAAACATATTTATTTCATTAAAATTTAGAAATAGGACTGAAAAAGACATTTGCTTTGTTAATTTCTCTCCGGTTTGTTTTTGTGTGTCATGAAAAATAATGCTTTTGAGAAATTTAATAATTTAAAAATCATAACTTTTTTTTGCCTACAAAATTCCTTTAAATTTGTACATGATGTATCATACAAAGAATTACCAAAAGCTTACTTTCTATGATTCATATCCTAATAGAAACAAAAGACGAAGTGTATTTTGAGCAATATTCCGTAAAACAAATACCATAAATTAAATTCACATCGTGTTGCTTGCGTGCATATAATGTAATAGATTATGAAACATAATCTTTAAACGAGCGTTTCGGTGTGAAATCTATGATTTTAGAGCAAACACTGTAAGCGGACATGTGCTACTAAACACTTTCGTCCTTTTTATTCAAATAATTCATATCGTTAATAGAGACAAATGAAAATGATTCAACCTCAATATCATGAAATAAATTCAAAAGAAAACAACTAGATTTTACTTCTAGAATGCAAAAAATAAAGCATCACAGTGTTTAAACAATATATTCAATATTGCTCTGTCGTGAGTTTATCATGTCGCCAAGGTGATAGCTATGTAGTTAAAGGTTTATACATGTATAATAATTTCATATGCACAACTATTCTTACTAAAAATTCTTCTACTCTTTGTTTCGGGTTTAAATTTATTTTCCATACCAATGGGCACTTACTTCTATTAAATGAAGCCATCAATTGATGTAAAATAAACGCATTATAAAAATACTTAAATCTTAAGCCAGACATTAGGTATACATGTGATGTAATTAACGTCATGGACATACAGGTGAATACAACATTACATGTGCTATAAAAGATTATTATAAATGTAAAAGTCAAAAGGCATAAGGTCAAAAATGATATGCATAGTAAGCTTTCGGTTCCAAAGATCTAAAGGATATTTATTCAACGCGAATAAGGCAACCAAGTAAGTGTTTGACTGTGTGAAAGGATTCGGACCGTGCTTGGTCAAATTGTTTTTGATTAGCAATTATTCCTGCATCCGAGTTTATTTAATCATAAACAAAGAGGATATTTTTATGTTATATGTGGCAATTTCAGAATGGGTTATAAGATATACAAATGTGAAGAGTCTTACACCTCAATGCACAGGTTTAAATTTCATATTTTAAAATATACATACTTTACAAGGTGTTCTCAAATTTTAAGTAAGCCGGCATGTTTGAACCGTCACATAGGAAACTTCCGCAAATGACCGTTAAGCCAATTATTAAAGAGCTCTTCCCTTATCAACATGACTACCTCATTCCAATCTCTTGGAAATCTTATGAAGGTGTGGGGGCTGGAAATGAAAATAATAAAAATAACAACAAAAAACTGAGTTACTTCGTTGATCGCCGTCATATGAAAGATCCGTTGATCGTCGTAATAATAATCTTTTTTACGTTAATTTCTATTGCTAGAAATACAATACTTTATATTCTGGTTTGTTAGGTTTTTATACTTGTAAAAAGGTTTAAAGATTGAATTATCAAAATATCACACATACATAAAGACAATTTTGGGATACTGCGGCTATTCGTTCCGTTGTAGCAGTAATATCATAATACTAGTATCTATATATATCCCCAATTTCAGTAATAATTCCCTTTGAAATATCCCTAAAGGACTAGGTTCAGCAAGACTGAAAAATTGCCCTGTGTCAGAAATTCATCAAATTTCTGTAAAAGTTCCTACTTTTATGCTCAATCAGAAATAAGAACACACTTGGTGATTATTTTATTTATTAGATTACCATAGTAACCAAGCTAAATTCAGCATTTGTCCAGTTTCTTACATGTTTCGGTCTCATAATAATTATTGTTTTTTTAGTCTGAAATACGCCAGCTTATTTTCCTTCCAGCTTTTGTAAGGTTGGTGTTGATATTTAAACACTTAATGAATTTATGAACTAATTGCTGATTGGATATCGACTTATTTTCATATCGATTTAATTGACAGCTAGAATTTGATCAATCGGTGTAAGTAGGCAAATGTTTTTTCCGCCTGTTATGACATAAAAGGCAGTTTTAGCTGTAATGTATGGAGTCCGGACATGTCATCCAGTCATATCTTTAAAGTGTAAATTGTGAAGCTCCATGTGTTAATAATTTACGTCTGTGCAATTTCTTCAGATTACAAGCACAAATGTTGCTGCACTGCAGCAATTGAGAAGCTCCGCGCAAAAAAAATCTGCTCATTACAGATACCTTATCAAATTATTCCTATGCACAGGTCATGTTATATTCAGATTAAGTACTATTGTAGATTTTTTCCGAATGTTTTGTAAACCATTTTTTGCATAATTATACTTATCTTATGCACTGTCCATAATTAAAAAGAGGGGAAAGATATTTAATATAAAAAATGCTTTCACTGATGCCTACCTGGTTAGGAAAGTAATTCCATTGTATACAAACAAGACTTACAAGAGTTTTGTAAATGTTATGTGACATGACTGTACTGTGTTCTGTTTGTGTTACGTCTACTGTGACAGTAACATAAGATGATAAAAATATCAAAGTCTGGTTTTTTTATTATTATAATTGTAACAAATATACAAATAGTAACAAAAGGGACTAATATTATAATATAGTAATATTACATGCATTTTTTTCATGTCAAATTAAAAGAAATGGTTTCTTTCAATACTGAAAGTAGAACACACTCTGGAATGAAAATATGGGATGAATTTCAAAAAGACCAAATTCAGGAATTTTTTTGTTTGTCATACACGCGTTACATGGTGATACAGTATTTATCAATAAAAATAGAAGTCTGTAGCCTGAGTTTTAGGTAGGTTTGAGGAAATTCACTAACATCATGTTCGTGCGTCTCGACAAAGATATGAAAGCTATTAGACATTGGTAATATATAAAAAAAAACTATAGTTAATTAATTTATTGGGAGATCAATATATATTTTTTGTTAAATTGCTTTAAAACCATTCATAAAAAACATTACATTTCATGTTCAAACTGCAGATCAAACTTTCTGTTGTTGTCATGATATCTATCTATAGCCTATGCTTAATGAGGGTCCATCCGCTCGTAAGGCCACAAAATGCAGCTTTCGCTGTTGAGTACGGACCCCCCTGAACATCTCACCAGTCATACCCTTAATTTTTTTCTTTTTTACAAAGTGGTATGCTGTACCAATGACGCTAATAAATGTAACCTTATATACTAAAGTTTAATTATTTCAAAACAACCAATATATCAACATGTTATTATTAAACATTTAATTTCATAAATATAAATTAAAAATAATTGTCAAAAGCAAAATTGTTAAAGTCTTATGCCTGAAATCTTCTTTATATTGACAAATTCAATCACTTATAGTATTCTTGATATGCTGTGTGTAAATGTAATTCAAAATGTAACAAATTATAATTTCATGTACTACTAAAAAAGGGAAATAACAAATTTATAACCTAAGTGTCAAAAATCAGAACATTTATAGCTATTTATAGCTTTCGAATTGATGTACAGCAGAACTGCTTTCCGGTTCTCATTCATTAATATGACATGCTGCGAAACACCGACGGGGAAACCAATATAGAAACCGAAAGGAGTTCTTGAAGGCATATAGGGATTTCGAGTCTAACGTAGGTTACTATACATCGGTAATTGAGAGCCTTAGCCATCTATATTGTCATTGAGATATATACACTGTTAACAAGTTTCTGATGTATTTCGGGGCTTCTCCATGAAGCGGTTTAAAGACGTGAGTAAGGATTATATAATTTATACGTCGATGTATTGGGAGCCAATGAAGTTCTTTGAGCACTGGTGTGATGCTAACATACCTAGGAGTTTTGGTTATAAGGCGTGCAGCTGTTTTTTTAAACGGTTTGTAATTTGTTAAGAACTGTCTTTTCAGAGCCATCTTGAAGGGCATTACAATAGTCCAGTCTCGATGTAAATGAATACTTCACCAATGATTTTGCCGCATCGTCAGTAAGATACTGCCTTTGTTACTAATCTGTCGGATGTGCACATAGTATGCTCGGGAGACACTGTTCACATGAGCATTCATTTCTAGATGAATGTCAAGCATAACACCTAGGTTTCTACCTTTCATAGATAGACTACTGATTCCCCGACTTTTAAGGAAATATCTTCAGCCAAAGCAGAATTTCGTTAGGAACGAATACAATTAACTCCTATTTTCAGCGTTTAGTTTCAGCAAATTGGTGTTCATCCAACTGACAATTTCGTTTAGACAAGCTTCGATTTGTTTGTTAATGAAGGGCGTCTGGACATTTGGGAATACAGTACCTTACATGCCCGATATGCCGCTAAGATAAATGAGAAAGTGCTTTGGGACATTGAATTTGACTTTGCCTTCCTTAACTTTCAAAAGTTGTCATTGATTTCATGTCATCATATTACTCTTCGTATATATTTTTCTCTTTAGATTAGTTTGAAAATGGTTAATTTTATTTGTGGATAAAGTAATATAATGATATTATGTGTACCATGATACGCTTTATAATAAATGTATAACTGGTATTTCTAAAAGTTGTTTTTAAACAGACTTGTCACGGTATTTATTGGAACGAAAATTCGGCACATAAGCATGATACACAACGTCGAATGACATTATGATATTAGTTTGATATGGTACATATGTTTGACAAGATGTAATTTGAATTCTGTTGTTTATTTCAAACGTTAGTTTTTGTCTTTAAAAACTAATTTGCTATTAAATAACATAATTTTTCCAATTCAGATCTGATGGCAAATTAGCATTGTTATGTAAGTTAAAATCAACGATTATCGGTTTTTACACTATAACAAAACAAAACGTACTGTTTGAAGATGAACCTGTATGTAACTTTATAATGTATATACATAGATAATTCATTATTCGAATTTACATAAAATATGTAATTGAAAAGAGCCGTAAATATGTAATTGAAAAGAGTAATGTATAATTTTGAAATCCATTGTGCTATAAAACATTTTATGTTCAATTTGCATAACAAATTATATACATATAATATAAATCATGTAGCATTCAAGTACAGTTTCTGTCCTTTTTATGCACATCTTCCTTTTCTCTTTCGCTTGGTGAGCGTGAAATGACAGCTTTATTCACATCAACTGTTTCACTTGCATAAGATTTACATTAAACGAATGAGATAAATTACATGTATATAATTAATGTGCTTTAGTCAAGATCATAATGTGATTACGTAAGAATTTCATGAGTGCAATGTTTATTTTTCAAATAACATTTTTTTCCAACATATGCTTTGGACTAGTCTACCATTAAATGTAATCCAGAGAGCGTAATAGTAAATGGAAGAAATATTATCGCTTTGTAGCAAGACATGATTGTTTTAAATAAAAGTGTTTAAGTAAAAGTTTTAAGTTTATTCGTATTTAGGCCTCAGGTTTATATACAACATGTATAGAACATATCAATACAAGCAACACGAGAGTTTTCAGACGGAAACAGTGTCATACATATAGTTCATATTCAGTGCAAATAATTTATAAGTTAATCAAAATAATAATCAATAAATCTATTAATTGACAAAACAATTTTTCACAATATCCAAATATTATAGACCAACAAGGAGTTTTTACCTTTCCGCATTTGATGAAGTTTATCATGCAATAAAATGAATGTATCTTTGTTAGCAATGCTTGTATAATACTAACAACATCAAACGTATTTTTTTGTTTTTCATTCTTTTCATCTTACTCGTAGGTCTTAGTTAAACATAATTACTTTAACTCTATATTTTACTTACTATTCTACATGTACCTGGAAGTTTCCGTATTAAATCGACTTGTGTAGGTTTTGAGGCCATCATGAAGTAAAATCGACTTGTAGACAATGTTTACGAAGAAATAATATCGAGTGTCTGGTTTCATGATAAAATGGATAAGTATCATGTTATAGTTGCTGTTGATTTTGTGTCGTGCTAAAACAACGAAATCTTTGCATGATTAAAATCATTGAAAACATTAAGGCCATTGTTAATTTGATTTTTTCATGATTTTCATAAAACACTTGTTTGAATATAATTGGCTGTGTTGATGATTGTAATACGGGACTATTTACTTAAGAATAGATGAAATAATCTGAAGTACTTTTTATAGATAGGTTTGAACATAATTGTCATCCTCATTCGTCTACAAATAGAAACTTCCATTGTAAAAGTTTACTGCAAAAATATATATTTTAAACCAAAAAGCAAATATATCCAATTAATATTGCCAACAGAATTATTAGAAATCATTTTGTTTGATTGATTGTCTCCTGGTATGAAATAAATTACTCACGATGACCACTTTTTGAATATCTTTAGACTGGTTGAAAAATGAAGATCTGGAGTTCCATGTTCTATCGCGTTTTGTTTGTAAACTGCATAGAAATGGGGTTTTTTTTGCCGTTTGATGGTCGAATAGAAGTACTTTGAATTAAGTTGATCAAATCTAACATGTTTGAAAAAATAATCAAAGAATTTGTGCAAATTAAACGAGTCTAAATGATATACTTTGATTTGAATGAACAAATCTTAAATGATTTTGAACAACACTGATGATAACAAAATGATACTAATTTTAAATCTTTACAATTCTTTCAAAGACATTAGTGTGTAGGTAAATTTTAACGAATACCAGTTTGAATCGTGAAATTTATTAATCTAAGAAAAGTAAATGTAAATGTCTTACCAAAATTATGTTTTATTATAGATACCGACAGTAGATTTAAACACTGGTTTGTAAGGAAGTTAGATGATAATGGTCTCTTTATCTTCACAACATCTTACATTAACAACAAAAATGTTATTTTTCTACTTCTTGGGATTCCTAACATAATCACTGCCGTTCATATGCATTTAAATGTGAATCTCACTTGCCAATTCTCTATTGCCTTAACATAGAGTTAAACATATTGTGGCACAGTTTTACAACTCTATATTTTGTTTTAACTTATTTGAAACATATCTTAGCATCAGATATCGACCTAGAGCTCCTAGTGTAGCATAATAACACGACTTTCAATAACGCTCAATAGCATTTCTATAAACGTTTCAATGTCCTTTGACAATCACATTTAATTTCATTCACAATTTTCACATCTAAACTTTCTGAACCATACGTAAAATTATCTTTCTTTCAAACATTAAAAAACATTAGATCTGATAAAAGTTAGTTAAGCAGTTTATTTAATAGAAAAATGTAAACCTTTCTGAGCCTTCAAAGCAGACTTTGCAGTTATAACTGCTTAATTTTTCTCTACGTGTTACCTGCTCACCTTTTCTGCAGACAACGATTTTGGTTTTGGTTTGTGTTTTGGCGTATCATTATCATGACAAACTTTAAGCAAATTTAGCAGATCAACAACAACGTTAAACATAAATACAATATAGATCATGTGCCATCATCAACAGAAAAAACTTTTTCAACAATTGATTGCATTAGCTGTACACTATATTCACCATATTGTGCTTTGTATAAATATATATCATTATTAATAAAACCAACGAACCTGACTTAATTAATAATGTGAATGCAATTACTAGTAGGGCAAATTGATAAAAAGTTTAACCGTCATTACAATGAAAGCATACATACACATTATTTAACAGTATCTTATAGTATCCCTTATTTTCGTTTGCGTATATAAGCATATGTTTATTTTATATTTCTATTAACAAAATAAAAATTCGTCTTAAAGTTAATAAAGGCAATAAAGGAATATATAATAATTTTACCTTTTAAAGTAAGGTACTAATTTATAACACATCATAATATTTATATAGACAGACTAAATACCAATTCTATAACATTTCAAAAAATAATATAGAAATGATCTTTATTCAGTTAGTCATACATTTTATAAGGGATTTAGCATTGACCATATTCTTAAACAACACTAAGACTTTTTACACCCTCTCCATATTGAAACTATGAAAATCAGCACCAATGACACCAGTAAGACCATTTAACATATAAATTGTAGCATGACCTTGCCCAATTATAGATTCTTCATTTGTAGCTTGCCCTTGTACATTTTTCCTATGTGCTTTTCCAAGACATTATCTTGCCTGTACCACCATTAGCATTATCACTCAGTTCTATAAGTACTTTAAATTTTTAATGTTATAAAAACGAAGTTTCTCAAAACAGTTTGCCATTTTCCTGTCGTTATTTCTAAGCTTATCTCTAAATACTTCTAACATAAAGTCATGATTTTTAAATTTGACTAAACAGTAGTATCTGAATTAACGTATTTGATGTATCGATTCTTTTCAAAGAACAAACTGAGTGCTCTTAAACATCAATTACAGTTATCAATCGCCATGAACACAAAATCTTTGTATTCCTTTTTGATATGTTTTTGTATTAAGCACTAGCATTCATTTTTTCTCTTGTCTGATTCTTTTCCCTGTTTTTTATGCCACAGTAT